AGGCGTTGCTGCTGCTGCTGCTGCTGCTGCTGCAGCAGCAGCAGCAGCAGCAGCAGCAGCAGCAGCAATATTTCTCTATAACAAAAAAAGAAAGAGACGCCGAGGGGTTATTTATATTATACTCCTTTAATTATGCTAAGACATACGTGTCGTTATCTTTGTCTATTAAAACCCTAAACCCTCAAACCCTAAACCCTCAAACCCTAAACCCTCAAACCCTAAACCCTCAAACCCTAAACCCTAAACACTAACGCAGGTTAATATATATGAACGACAGGAGTACTGATAAAGGCTGCTACAAAAGAAAGTACTATTAATATATATGTTGAGATACACGATGCATATATATATATATATATATATATATATATATATATAATTAGCGGATACAAATACAGGTACTATTGAATATTTTATATAAAACAGTAGTGTTAAGGATATTCGCTTCGTCATACAAACTAGAAGGTGGTTGCTGGTTGGGGTGTATAGGCAGGCTGCTTGTTGCGGCATTGATACGAACATAAGGATAAGAAACGGAGAATAAAAAAGAAATTAAGATAAAAATTAAGTATAATAAATTAGTATTTTAATTAAAAAAAGAAAAAATGAGTGAGAGAGAGGCTGTACCAGCAACGAAACCTCGACGGCCTCTCGGGTGTACAGGCAGGTGTGTTTCACCGCGAGAAAGCTGCCTATACACCCCAACGGTGTGAGTGGAAAGCGTTGATTTTTTTTGAATATTTTGGGTTTTTAACGGCTAAATATTAAAACAATAACTCAGTGAAGTGATATAAGGGTTTATATTTAGGGTTTAGGGTTTCAGTAGCAGCACCGGGGCCTCTAGCCTCGTCGGTAGGGTTTAGGGTTTAGGGTTTAGGGTTTATGAGGTGTACAACGAAGCAAGTAGATATAAATGTATTGAGGTAAATCTTTTTAAAACTACAAAAGCAGAAAGAAGAATAAAATAAATCAATAAATAAATAAAAAAACAAACAAAATATACCTAGACACAAAGAAAAATATAGAAAAAAGAAACAGTGTAGCTTCGCTTAGAGCCCTCTGTCTAGTGGTTGTTGTATTCAGGGAGACAAAGAGGAGCTGCTGTGTGTTTGTATTTGTTTTGTTTTGTTTTTTAGTGTATTTAATCTATAAAAAAAGTGTTTGAATACTTTGTTTTCATTGTCTAGGNTGACCCCACGACGATGTGGAGGGATCTATCCATCGTCGGTGTGGTGGTGGTTGTTTTCTTTTTATGTTTATCTCAATTTGAAATACACGATACAAAAGCATTTAATTGTCTCCTTAAAGAAGAAAAACAAAGAAAGACAGATCCTTACTTTGTACCCCTAGACGGCAGCCCCCCAGCATATGTTGCTAGAGGTAAGCAACAGCAGCAACAGCAGCAGCAGCAGCAGCAGCAGCAGCAGCAGTTGCAGCAGCTGTAGCTGTAGAAGCAGCAGCAGGAGGAGCTGCTGCTGCTGCAGCAACTGATGTTTCTGTTGCTGCTGCTTGCGCAGCAGCCTCTGCTGCAGTAGCTGCTGCTACTGCTACTGCTGCTGCAGCTGCTGCTGCTGCTGCTGCTGCTGCTTTACTTCATTCTTCTCTTGTCTATGAGCTCACAAAATACACTACGGCGCGGGGCAGCGACCTGTGGACCCTGCTCTAGCAGGCCCCTAGGGTTTAGGGTTTAGGGTTTAGGGTTTAGGGTTTGTTTGTTCAGGTGCTTTGCCTTGTGTTGAGGATGTGGTGGCGTTTGCGAATGCTAAGAGAGCAGGACCAGACGGCGTCGTCGGCACTGAGGTAACTCCACTCTTCAGGTGTATAGGCAGCTCAACATAGTTCAGGTGTATAGGCAGCTCAACATAGTTCAGGTGTATAGGCAGATCAGGTGTATAGGCAGCTCAGCATAGTTCAGGTGTATAGGCAGCTCAGCATAGTTCAGGTGTATAGGCAGCTCAGGTGTATAGGCAGCTCAGCATAGTTCAGGTGTATAGGCAGCTCAACTCAGTTCAGGTGTATAGGCAGCTCAACATAGTTCAGGTGTATACGCAGCTCGACTCAGTTCAGGTGTATAGGCAGCTCGACTCAGTTCAGGTGTATATACACCTGATTAAGCTGCATGTTTTGTATAAAATTTTTCCTTTTTTTCGCATTCATCTTATACATCTTTTCGTTGACACACACTAGGGTTTAGGGTTTAGGGTTTAGGGTTTAGGGTTTGTATAACAGGACGACAGCCTGACGATAGAAGAACATCTCGATTTGTTGGGGGCTTCTCTAGAGGCTAACTTTGTTGGTGGTTTTTGGATTTACTCTCCTTTCTTTCTTTCTTACGAGCATTACGGTGAGGGTTTAGGGTTTAGGGTTTAGGGTTTAGGGTTTAGGGTTTAGGGTTTAGGGTTTGTATTGGTACTAGTGCTGTTGCTGCATTCGTTCTTTTTGCTTTCCTTTTCTCGTTTTAACCCCTACTACCCCCAAACCCTAAACCCTAAACCCTAGCCCATAAACCCTAAACCCTAAACCCTAAACCCTCGTTGTGTTTTTGAGGGTTTAGGTTCTGCTGTAAGAACTCAGCTGCTGATAGGAGATGTCGATGAAATGCTGCTGCTGCGG